CGGTGTCTGGTGCTGGTGCTTCCATTCTCACAGCTGCTCCTGGGAGGCAGAGCCTTCCCAAGAGCTTTGCAGGAGTTAACTGTGAAGACTCGGCTGTCTAGCAGCAGCTGTAGAGATAGCTTCAGTCCTTTTTCTATATAGAATGATATAAATATGTTAAACAGTGCACCGACACATTTGTGTACAGTGCTTCAACCCATCTGCTTGCGTAGATTGTTACTTGTTATGTACCTCACAAAGATGCAGATTGGTCTAGTGAGCCAAACTTATTCTTGGAATGAATGGCAAAAGTACTGTGTCAGCAGTTTTTCTCAGGAGACAGACTCAAGTTCACATTGTTGCAAGGACAATGCAGTGTCACTGTGCTTTTTCTTTCCCCAGTCTGTTTTATAGATGGCACTACAGCACTTCATGTCCTAGCAGAGAAATTCTTAAATGCTTGATTGGTGAGCCAGTGCTCTTTTGTGTAGTGGTATAGCCAGAGTATGATTGCACCTTATGTCCTGGCTTTTATCCTTGGTTCCTGCTGCTGCAGTTTATTTCAAATGTTCTTAATATCTTTCTGTGTTAGCAGGTTTACAGTTTCTCTAAGCATGGAAAGTGGTTCCATACATAAGCATCTTTACACATGAGGTGGAAGCTGGTGTATGCCATGTGTGTTCTATTGCTCTTGTAACTGTAAATGAGCAGAGATATAAATTACAGCAGAGTTAGAAATGGGCTTGTGCTGAGGAAATTTTCAAACATATAGCAAGTTTCAGATTAAAATAAGGAAATAGAGACATAAATGAAGATTACTGACTGTGTACTTTGTATTTTAATGATTACATGGAAAGACCTACTGAGGAAGGCTTTGTGTTGTCCAAGTTGTTCTACATTTTATCTTAACGTGTTTTGCAAATTTACATGCAGGTTTTGATGTGAATACTAAAGCATGCATATCTAACAATCCTGCAGAAGATAAGGGTGAGAATTATGTATAATTGGGACAGTGAAATGAGATTAATCTTGTACCTGCTATGTGGTTCAACCTCAGTCACAACCAATATGTGGAATGGTTAAAGTTATAATGGGTGAAAATATGAAGGTTCTAATTAAAGCAGGATGAATCTGTCTTGTGTGCTCTTACTAGTCATGCACTTGAGGATGGAGAAGAAAGGCAGGCTATAGATGAAAGGATTAGAAGCGTACATTGTTCCTATATATGCAGCTTTAATCCAGTGTCATGATAGCATAACTGATGATGACAGAATGAGGTAAACTATAATCTTGCTGATTTATCTGTAAATGTTATGATAAGCTGACCTCACTAAGGAAAGAGATGCCTTAGATCCTTTTTCATCTCTGCACATGGAGAGACTGCGAACACTTTAGCCTTGGTCATATCTTTTGGTGTTAAGATGCTCCTGCTTGCTGGAAATAGAGCCAGCTTTAAGCCAATTAAGTCATATTGGTGTTACCCTGCTGTGAGGAAAGTATCTAATCTAAGGACTCTAAGTAAATTGGAGTTGTTAAATAACCTTGTGTGATGAAAGTAGAAGTAACTTGAACATGCTGTTGAAAACTGAGTTTTGAAATCTTCTTCTGCATTGAAAACATAGCTATTTGTCTCTTGAAGTTCAGTGTTAGCTTAAAGATGGTTTGAGTGGACCCAGAGTGTAGTTATTCAGAGGGCTTAGTCTTGTGGGCAGGGAGGAAGTGAGAATGGGTGCTGCGTAACTTGCAGGCTACTTTTGCCATTCATAGTGTCAGCAAAAAAAAAAAAAAAATCATGCTAGGAGAGCTTAGGCATTCAGTCTTTATGTAAGCAAGCAGCCAAGTTCAGGCACTCTCCCTGATGCCACAAGCCTGAGAACCTGACATATGCCACTCTTCTATCCACACAGGGAAGAGAAACAAAAGCACAAGGATCTGTTGTCCATTGAAACTGACGTGTTCATGGCATGCCTCAGTAGGTGTCACTTTGTTAGGGAAAGGGAGGCCCCAAAACTCCTTAATTTGAGAATGAGGGGCTTGGGTCACAGTCTGTAGAAAACAGTACATAAGGGTTCAAGATACTCCAGAATCCCAAATTTAGCTTGAAGAAACTTCATCTGTTTTGGGTAAGGTTGCCAGTTTTAGCTAGCCATATGTAATTTACTGCTTGTTCTCTTCTGTGTTCAAGTGGACTGAACAGTTGAATCCTGCTTTCCTAACCCCCACACCCATAGGAAAGCTGAGCAAAACAGGGTCTCCAATTTTTAAGTTCATTTTAGGTGATCTTGTCCCCTGCTCTCTCTCCTCCCCTAACACCCCTGTGTTCCACAGAAGTGGGAAGTGGTAGTGTCAGGTACCTCAGCTCTTGGGGCTGTTTTTCTCTCAAAATTTGCACACAAAAAAATGTCAAATTCTGGCATTTCTGTTGGTCCTGTGTATGACAAAGTGACTTAGGATGCCCAAAGCTCTCCCAAGACTGAGGGGTCATAGACCCTGACAGAGGCATTTCAGGTCATCAGAGAGGTGCTGGGAACTCCTCCCCCTGTTGCATTTTCCTTGGTTTCTCCTCAGCTGAGGTGTCCTGAACCCTGCTGTATTAACCCTGCTTCACTGATCCTCAATGCATCCAATGATCCAGGAACCTCTATTTGAGATGTCAGAGACCCAGCTGGAGTGTGTCCTGGGTCCTGCAAAACTGGGGACAACCCAACTCTCCACAAGTAGCAATCTTAGCCATCCCAAAACTGAGTGCAGATCAAAAAATTCAAAGATTCACTTCTAAGAATCAAAACAGTCAATTTTATAATAAATCGGCTAATCTTTCCAGGCAAATTCTTAGTCCATTTGCATTTAACACAATAAACCCTTTCTGACTACATACAACAAAAAACTTGAGCGAGATCAGGTAAATGACTTAATGTGATTTTGTGCCCTGAATATTAAGATGATTTTTGGACTGTAGTGTTATGATTAGCAGTATATTAAGCACAGTCATGAAGAATGAATATTCCCAAAGAACATGGAAACTATTAAAGAAATGTGACTGTTTTCATGTTGTCTGCTAAACACAGCAAAACAATCTGATCCAACATATATCTAGAGATTCTGTATGTAATTTGGAAATTATTGAACACCTTAATGTAAGAATTCAGTTCAGATTCTATAAACAAAAATTTTAAGCTCAGTTATCTTCTTTCTTTCTTTTTCAACAAGTTCACTTTCTCAGCCTTACAGGCCAAGGGAAGATGCTTTACTCCTTTAAGGCACGAGAGATTGTTTAACAGTGTTAGGAATACGACTGGCATAATAGTCATAATTTCTCAAAGTGGCAAGGACCCCAGCTGAATTCATGTGTTTCACTTCCTTGTTATACTGAAATGGATTTCCATGGATATCAGTTATCTTGCCTGCAAAAAAAAACCCAATATTCCAGCAAACAGGAGTTGGAGAGAGATAATCTATTTTATTAGTACAAGTGATATAACTAAGAAAACAGTCTTCAGCGTACACATGCCTGTCTTCACATGTTAAATACCTTTACTCCCAGTTTAAGCACAACAGTTTATTATTGACTGAAATAAAATAATTAATGGTTTTATTTTCTTTCAGCAATACTTAAATTCCTTGTGTTTCAGGAAAAGGAAAACAGCATCTGTTATGGATTAATTAAAATGCTTCCTGAGTAGTTTTTACATTGGCCACTGAACTGAGAATTTTTCTTTGCTTCTTGTCAAGTAAAAGCCAGGAGAAGTCTACGCAACAAACTCTAACAATGTAGAAACACCCCAGCTGGTTTTAAATTAGTTTCTAGAAAACACTTAGCAAGAGGACCACTGATCTTTATGCAAGCTAATTTAACCACGAGATACCTATATAATAAGGAGGCTAAATACACCACTGAGCTGCCCCAGATTGGTTGTTTTTTGAGCTAACCTGTTTAAAGCTATCCCAGTTATCAGCACTAGAGACTGCAGAGGAGTTAATGTCATTAGGAAGCCTATTATCATTGCTTGACAGAATTTAGGAGATCAAAACCCACAATTTTAGCATATGGTGGTAAAAGGTCTCTCAACAGGAACAGCAGAAAAAGTATATTAATAATACTTATATTCAAATTCATGTCAGTGAGACCATTCATAACTTCTCTAGCCTCTTACCCCCTAGAAAGGTGAAGTGGCTTATGTTGGCTCGAGACCACTAATTTTGCTGAATTACATGAATGACTCAATTTTGGAGTTTTTACATCTGAGGAACAACTGCATGATTTGGTCTATTTTTGTTGTTGTAAAGAATTCAATGTCCACGTATTACATAATATGTTACTCATAATAAACTACTATATCCAGTCAGTAGGACAGCGTGATCTTACTGTGCAATAGTAGCGAACGGAAAAAAAGCTATTTGTTTTGAAAATATTAAAATTAATATACCCAAAATTTTAGAATTTGATTTGACAGATATCGACTATATTAGTCCAGGGCAAAACAGATTATATCATGCTTTCCAGAGCATAATTTGCTGTCCCTTTGGAGTTACTGTTGATTTCAAAGGGTTCAAAACTCCTAGTGAATTGTGACTATTTAAAAATACAGACATGCTGTCATGATTCTTTACAAAGACATGTTTGAAAATTATTTTTTTCTATGAAAAGTAAAAATAACTTTAAACTGATGCAGTTTCACTTAACTTGGAATTTGGAATGCTATTAACTTACCTCCCACAGCATGCAGAATAGCTTCAGGTGCACACGTATCCCATTTCTTGCACCCAGGACTGGCAAATACATAAGCAGATGCCTTGCCTTCTATAAGTTGAATGATCTGTTATGAATAGAGAGTGGCAACCATTGTAAAGGATCTAGGCATTTAGAAATGGGTAAAAATAACATAAGGGATTAGATCAGTTTATTCTTTGTACTTGCGGTCAAAAAGGAACACCAGCCATTTCCCTTGCAATATTACAAGAAACTGTATTAAGATTTAGAAAGCTATACTTTATTACTATTCTGAATGATCTATTTTTGATTGTTATAAATACAGTCTATAGGATGTAAAACTGCTTTTAGTTTCAGAAACAAGAATTCCCATCTTGTGCAAGTACTAAGAAAATAAAGTGGAAACTATCTCCATGATGTCTTGGTGCCATTCTGGGCCTTGCACACCTTGGAGAAAAGAGATTGGAGGGTCTGTTTTTGACAGCCATGACAAAGCTAAGCCTTAAAAACTGTAGCAAATGAGTATTCCCTGTATGCAGAGAAGTTTTGCAAAAGAAATATCACTATGTGCTTCTATTTTTATTGTTTCATATGTGCTGCTAGATAGTTGGAACAAAAACTGTATTACCATGAACACCAAGAAGTGTCTAATTGTGATTAAATTTAATTCCCATTTAGTCATTGTGGTCTTACAGCTTTTTATTGTTTCCCCTAGAAACAGAATACTGGGGAAGATGGACCTCAAACATGACTGTACCAAATTCTCTCTACCTCTCAGCAGACTGAATGCTTGGAAGAGAAGTTGTGCTGGGGAAGGAGAAGGAAGTTTCCCATACATTCATGCAAGTAAGCAAATGATTTATTTAAAAATTCTTTTTCCGAAGATACCACCTCCCAGTAAATACAAAAGATTTTGAGTTTTTGTACCTTGTTTCCTGCTCCTCCAACTCTGATGACACTGTCTGGGTTCAAGGCACTGATGCAGTCATTTACCAGAGTGCTGCTGTGAGAACGGGTGGTCACGATGATGTGTTTCCCAGCAGGTGCTTCTGTGAGCTGAAATCCAAAGGCACCTAAGCCCAGGACTCCCCAGATTGTCCTGCCCAACACAGCATCCGCTCCTGCCTATGAAAAAGGTACACAGGTCCATGGGATGGTTAATCATAGTGGTCAGCATTTAAAGCACAAACAGAAAGGAGCACCTAGAGACATCTCTGCATATCAGGGAGTATAATATTAATACTGGGTTACACATTTAAACAATAGCAATTAAAAAGAACTATTCTAGAGCCCAGAGTGAGAAATTTGCTCTCTTTTTTCCCCTCTATATTAATGACATCATTTACCCTCTTCTTATCTGTGACGTTGTGATGGTGCATTACATCCTGACTCCAATCACTGACAAATTAATATTTGTATATTTCTGTACTTCAGGGACAATCTATAACTGACATTGTCTTGTCATTTTAAATGTTTCATCATACATATCATATGGAACATATAGAATCAGCTGATGATAGGCATTTGTCCTGGTTTGATATCACTATGTTATCAGCCGCCTTCTCAGCACAAATCCAAAACACAGCCTCTTACTAGCTACTGTGAAGAAAGTTAACTCTCTCCCAACCGAAACCAGGACAGCATTCCATCAGCTTAAGAGCTTTTTCTTTAAATTCTAGTAAGTTTAATTAATCAGGCTGCATCATGAGCTTTCACCCTCCTCACAGATAATACTGAAATAATTTCCAAACATGTGTAAATGCCTGGAGGTTGGCCACCCTGGACTTATACCTGAAACCTGGCCTGATAACACTCTAACCCAGCTGTCAGTGACAAGTACACTTGGTTTATTTAGGGCTGCAGATTTATGGCAGTTCCCACACATCACAAAAGCACCTATTGCATGGATTTACTAAAAAATTTCTAGCAAAGACTGCAAAAACACTGATCTGTACTTGTTTTACAGTATGTACTTTATACATACAGTATATATGTAATACATACTGTATAAGTGTATTACACAAACCTCAGGATTCAGTACGGCTGTTAGTAGGTCCCTGAGATTCGGTTCCTGGAAACCAACAGCCAAAATTATATCTATTTAACAGAACCAACACCACCACCTATTACAACATTAGCTCCACTACACACTGCTTTTTCAGTTGAAAGGGTGCTAACTAGAAATGGCTTAGAAGTGACAGTTAGAAATCACCTGATGCTTTTAAACAAAACAATGCATTTAATACCTCGTAGTTGTAATATGGCTGGTTAATAACTCCCGCTATTGCTTTGCCTCCATAAGCAATTCCAATAAGAACCGTTACGTGGTCGAGGAGACCTGTACAGAAATAATATGAATGTAGTTATGCTTGAAAAAGACAAAGTATGTATCTAAAAAAATGAACCTTCAATAAAAGTCCACAAATTCTTAAGAATGCAAATACTACTCAGGATTTTCAGGTGTAATAGGTTGTTGGATATAATTTTTTAGTAATTTAGCCTTGAGGTCTGCAAAAAAAAAAAGCAGCAGACAGAATTCTCTTAATATAACTACGTTATAATTACCACATCATGAGAAAGAAGTTTAAAGATAAAACTAAATAGCAGTAATGATGACATTCTTCTATAGTTGTGGTATGAATTCTTTAATGGTATTCAAAACCAGCAATTTGTTGACAGTTATACATC